GGCTTGGTGATGATGAACTCCTTGAAGTTGACCATATCTGAGAAGCACTTTATCTGCCCTTCCATTCTAAATGAAAGCTTTGCTGGATAGAGCAGTCTTGGATGTAGGTCCTTGCCTTTCATGGTTTAGAATACTTCTTTCCAGCCCCTTCTTGCCTGTAAGGTCTCTTTGGAGAAATCAGCTGACAGTCTGATGGGAACTCCTTTGTAGGTGACTGTCCCCTTATCTCTTGCTGCTTCTAGGATTCTCTCCTTCATTTTAATCTTGGCTAATGTAATGATGATGTGCCTTGGTGTGTTCCTTTTTGGGTCCACCTTCTTTGGGACTCTCTGAGCTTCCTGGACTTCCTGGAAGTCTATTTCCTTTGCCAGGATGGGGAAGTTCTCCTTTATTATTTGTTCAAATAAGTTTTCCACTTGTTGCTGTTCCTCTTCCCCTTCTGGTACCCTATAATTCGGATGTTGGAGCATTTAAAGATGTCCTAGAGGTTCCTAACCCTCTCCTCATTTTTTCCAATTCTTGTTTCTTCATTCTTTTCTGGTTGGATGTTTCTTTCTTCCTTCTGGTCCACTCTATTGTTTTGAGCCCCAGTTTTCTTTCCATCACCATTGGTTCTCTGTGCATTTTCCTTCATTTCATTTAGTGTAGTCTTCATTTTTTCATCTAATTTGCGAGCAAAATCAACGAGTTCTGTGAGCATCCTGATCACCAGTGTTTTGAACTGTGCATCTGATAGGTTGGCTATCTCTTGGTTGCTTAGAAGTATTTGGCTCTGGAGCTGTGATCTGTTCTTCCATTTGAGCCATTTTTCTGGGGAGGAGGGTCAGGTCTCCCCTGTTATTCCTGAGGGGCGGAGCCTTAGGTGTTCACCAGGGCGGGGCAACCCAGTCACTGGGTTGTGACATTGTATGTGGGGGCAGGGTCAGAGAGGGGCGATGGCACTTGCTCAGCTCTCTGTCAGATTTCAGTCCCCTCTGCCGCTTCCCACAAGCAAATTGGGCCCTTCTGGTGCTAGTTCCTGGGTGTGTGGGCTTATGTACATTCTAGGACCCTGTGGGTCTCTCCAATGAACTCTCCTGTGAGGCTGGGAGCCTCTCCTGGCACCTCAGCCACCACCACAAGTGGTTTCAGTTGGTGCTTTTAGGCTTTATTTTTTGGCCCTGGATCCTTGAGTTGCATGGTCTGTCTCACTGCCCTTTTTTTTTGCCTGGTTTATCTGTGCACGAATGTGTGCCCTGGGTCAGCCAACTGCCTTGCGCACTTCATTTTCTCCCCACACCCAGTGCACTTCATTTTCTCCCCACACCCGGTGCTGCTAACCACCATCTCTTCCTGCTGGGACCTCTCTCCTCTGGCCACCGACTCTGCCCCCTCTTACTGGTCTGGACGAATGGATCATTGTCGGATTTCGGTACAGTTCAATTTTATGTCTGTTCTGGTTGTGTTTTGATTTCTAAATCTTTGTTGTCCTTAAATTTAGTTGTGCGAGGAGGTACAGTATTTCCACCTATGCCTCCATCTTGGCTGGAACAGGAAACTCAGTTTTGAGTCTAGTTCCACCTTTTACAGACTGTTGATAACTTAACATCTGTGTATTAGGCTCCTGTCCTATAAAATGGAAATGCAGAGCTCTACAGTGAGGAACTAACTACACAGAAAGAAATGCAACACTTTTATAGGGTGCATGTTTTTAAAGATTTTTTTGAGAAGTCTTTGGAATTTAAATGCTTACAACACCATTATCATTTTTTAAGTTCTTGAGAAAGAATCTCATCTGCATACTTCACAAAAGAGACTCCTTTCAGGAGATGGAAATTAAGGAAAATTTAGAGGTGGCAACAGTTCTAAACCATAAAGGAGTTAAGTTTTTGTTTTTGGAGGGAGAAAATTCTGAAGCTTTTAGAATGTCTATTCCAATCTTTTTTTTATTATTATTAAAGATTTTATTTATTTATCTTTAGAGGCGCGGGGGAAGGAGAGAGGGAGAAAAATATCAGTGTATGGTTGCCTCTCATGTATCCCCTGCTGGGAACTGGCCTACAACTCAGGCATGTGCCCTGACTGGGAATTGAACCACGATTGTTTGGTTCGTAGGCCCCCACTCAATCCACTGAGCTACACCAGCCAGGGCATCTATTCCAATCTTAATGAGTTCTTCCTTTTAGTATTTCACTTGTAATCCCAATGTATGGTACTTTGCTAGATAGAGGTGTTCCCCAAATCAGTCTTTTTAAGTTCTTTTTTGTACACATTTGTAAAAAGATTCATTTGAAATATACAAAGAGTATATAGTTTAAGGAATATTAAAGATTAACAAAAACTATTCCTCAAATTATTTTAAAATTGAACCATAGTTTACATGTTCATGAGGAACTTATGTATATAGTTGTATGTTTTTTCCATGAAGTTATTACAATTACTTTTTACTTACAGCTGTTGAATCTAATTCATATATTTACTGCCATACCAATTACAATTACAATAGAGATTTATTCTGACAACTATCAGAAAAAAAAGTGACAGAAGATATTGAAGGTTTTAAGGAAGGGGCAAATAAATTGGGAGAAGCCAGCTCCCTTAGATAGTTGAAAACAGCACTGGCTAGTTTTGAACCCTTGCAAACCAAAGGGTCAGTGGTTCAATTCCCAGTAAGGTCACATGCTTGTGTTGCAGGCCAGGTCCCCAGTGGGGGGTGCATGAGAGGCAACGACACACTGATGTTTCCCTCTCTTTCTGTTTCCCTTCCCTTTCTTTCTCTCTAATAATAAATAAATAAAACATTTAAAAAGCAGCGTAATAATTTAAAACATTAACAGTTACATGATCAGTTCTATAAATTATTTGGAACAGAACTGATAGTCGAAAAATATTTAACAATTTAATATGATTGGAAGCATCTTCAAGCAGTGGAGTTAGATTACCTAATAAATGTTACAACTGGTTAGTAATTTAGGAAAGTAGCTTATATTCCTATTACATAACACAATAACTTTTTTTTCTAATCCTCACCTGAAGACATACTTACTGATTTTAGAGAAAGTGGAAGGGTGGGAGAGAAATATCAATATGAGAAACATCATTCAGTTGCCTCTTGTACGAACTTGGACCAGAGACAAAACCTGCCACCCAGGCATGTGCCCTGATCAGGAATTGAACTGCAGCCATTTGGTTTATGGGGTTGATGCTCCAGCCAAATGAGCCACACCAGCCAAGGCATACCACAATTAGTTTTTTATGCTATTCTGTTTAGTTCCTGAACTGGTTTCTAAAGTTAGGTGCTCTTTTGTATGATGCAATCATACTACCTCTTGACACACACACCCCCACCAAAGAAAATCACTATTATAGCAGAAACAAAGGATTTATCATCCACATTATTGAAGAGTAAGAAATATACTGTCTTTCCTGGCCTTAGAACTATACATTTGAATTCTCATCAGTTCTCTAGAACTAATATTGAAAATGATTAGTGAATCGGCAACATTAACGTGACCTGGGAGCTTGTTAGAAATGCAGAATCTCACCCTACTCCAGACCTACTGAATCAGATCTGCGTTTTAACAAGGTCCCCCAGGGATCTGTGTGCACGTTCAAGTTTGAGAAGCACTTCTTTAGAGGGGCATCTTATATTAATGAAGTTATTTTTTTCTTTCTGATTATATAGTAGTAGCAACCTCATTTAATTGGCTCCACCAATTTAGATCCAATGTCAACCTAATTTTCTTGTAGTGTCAGATATCTTATTTCTTCAAGCATTATTGTCACTTTGTTTTAAAAGTGCATGATTATAAATTTAGCTTAAACATTGTGCTTTTGAAAGTAGTAATCATGATACATGTGCCCAGTATTCCAGAATTATTTGAGTTCCCTTTAAGGGATATTTATTTGTTTTTAGGATAGCTTTAAGATACTGTTTTTTACTTTTTAGGAGGTTTTTTGGCTTGTTTTGTTTTTCATCATTTGAAAGGCAGTTAGATATAGAAAATAAAACACAGACTTCCAACCAGATCATTAGGGGTCTGAATCCTGGCATTCTCAGCTTACCACCTCGAAGTTATTTATCCCCTGTATCCTTTCTTTCTTCATTTACCAATTGAAGAAAATTATAGCACCTATCTCATAAAGTTGTTAGGATTACAGAGTTAATAGATATAATTTCTGATCTCTATGTAAAGTGAGTTCTTTACTATAATATATACTCTAGTAAAAGAGGATTGATAGAGTAATCTAGAATAGTTGATCCTCCCTTGCAAAATGTGGCCTCTCATCCAGGAATCTTAGAGTCATTCTTCAGTTTTCTTTCCTCACATCACCCAGTGTTTTCTTCCAGGTCTCCTCCATTTCTGCTACTACTGCTACTGCTACTGGTCTAGGCTTTCATCATCTCTCACTTGAATTCTTTCAGTAGCTGCTAACTTGGTCCTCTAGTCTCATCCTTAGCATTACTGACAGTGTCCTGCTAAAAGTTAACAGCTCCCTACTACAAACTCCTTAGCATGGTGCTTTCCTTCTCAGTAAAACAGGGTGGGAGTTAATAAGATAGATATATCTGGATAGTACAGACTCAATAATGGTTAAAGTGGCAGTTTTGGTTTATCTTTATGAAACTCTTCCAACAATTAAATAGTGAAATGAAGAATAATAGTGCTTAATCTTAGTTGTTTTCAGTTAATGTACTTTATTTATTATTAAAGAAGTATTTGAGTATCTACACTGGCCAGCTATTTTTTATGCTTTGTAGAGAAGACTGTTAGTGATGTGCCTATATTTACCATTCATTGACACAATTTCCAGGTCTTCTGGTCCGCCCCTTTTAGAGGATTATAGTTCATGGTTAACTTTATGTTTAGACTTCCTTAAGAAGAAAACTGTATGGGACAAATTGGGGCATGTTCCTACCACTCTTATTTTTTACACTGGAGACAGTATGCTAAGAATATAAACATATTATAAACATATTAGCTTTCCTAGTCTAACCAATAATTGTGTTTGTTGCTTAGAAAAAGCAAAGAGATCTTGCTAAAATGAGAAAATGTCTCAGACCAGAAGAACTGACAAACCAGATGAACCAAATAGAAATAAGCATGCAACATGAACAGCTGGAAGAAAGCTTTCAAGAACTTGTGGAAGATTATCGACGTGTGATTGAACGCCTTGCTCAAGAGTAAAGACTAGACTGTACAGGAAGTCTGCAAATTTCTATACATTGTGTTGTGAAAAATATGATGGTTACTTTAATTTTAAAATCTTGTAACATTTACTTACATTAAAAGTTATCTATCTGACCTTTAGTTGAATATTTTCTTTTGGAGAGATTGTATATTTTAAAATACTGTTTAGAGTCTATGAACATATATTACATTTTTTAAAAAGATATAGCTTCTGAAGTACCACTGCAGTTGTTTCCCTTCTTAAACAGTATAATAAATGCTTAGTTGTGATATGTTAATGTGTGATATGATTCTTAAACACTTTTTCAGTCTTCTCATAAACTTTGTTTTAAGCTTTTACTATTCTTCTCACCCTTTGCTTCTAAGATTTTACATCAGACACCTCTAAAACACATTTAAGATATTTTTTTAGCAATCTTGTTTTTCCTATGTGATTTTTCTAAATAGAAATGTTCCTAGTATAGATTTGTTTTAATCAAACTCCTATCAACCACTTGTTGACAGAGAAGGGAAACTAGATACAGCCTAAAACCTAAATGTTTGGCATCAAATATCAATGGAAGATAATTTAGAACTTAGTTTTAGCATAAACATTTTATAAACAATAGTAATATAAGGTAAAGATAAAAATCAGCTTCTAAAAATCCAATTTACACATATTGAAATATATCAGGTATAAACTGAGGTGTGTATCTCTTGTGATTTGCTATAAGGTTACCAAGATGTTGAAGTCTAATAAGAAAAAAACCAAAGTAAAGGTAAATGGCTTAATGTAGTTACTTTATTTTTATTGGAGTATAAATTGCTTGATACAGAATAAAAGATTGGTGTTTATAATGTGTGCCAGTAAGGTTATTATATAATCTCAAAAATGAGATGTAACTTGTACTTCTTTTCTTACATCCTCACCTGAGGACATGCTCTTTGATTTTAGAGGGATGGGACAGTGGGGGTGGGGGGGGTTGGAGAGAAATTGTTGTGAGAGAGAAACATCAATCCATTGCTTCTCATACATGGCCTGACCAGAAATTGAACCTGCAACCTTTTTTAGTTCTCAGGACAATGCTCCAACCAACTGAGCCACACTGGCCAGGGCTGAACTTTACTTTTAAAATCTAATTTCTTCAGTGCTTAAGGCAAAATCCCAACTTGAACAAGTACCATCTTGTCCTTGTATCAGCTTCCCATCAGTAAAGTCTGTCAAACAGGATAAGCAGAGTAACTGGTACCCACTGGACACAAAGTAGCTGTGGCCAGCAGCATAGCAAGGACACTAAGCCATCCCCTCAAAAATTGTAGAAGTTCACAGAAATTTATATATAGGTAAGGCTTGTTGATTTCTGAGAAGGATATGTATATACACATGAATTTGTTATAGCTAGAATAAACTAGTCCCGGTAAAATCCTTCCTGAAACTACGAAAACAATTTGTTTTCCATCTAAACTAGCTAAATTTTCTATTTTTATTTGAATTTGGGAATTTATTTGAATTCCCCCAAAAGGGAATTTTTATTGAAAATTTACAACTGATACCTAAAGATGCACTCTGAGGTGAGAAAAATCTGTACTGTCTAAAAAAATTACCTTTCAACATACTTGTATGTAGAAACCAGTAAAAGCCAACATAATTTCTGTACTTTTTTCCAGCAACATTCTATGTTCAGTTCATGCATAAAGATCTGGTTTAGCATTAATCTTTGGAGCTTCAAAGGTTGTACCTTCATTTGGTGTTAGATAGGTAAAGTCTAGTAGTGAGATCTGCACCTTATGTAGAATAATTAAATACCAGGATAGATGTATGAAATACATCTAACCTTTGTATGAAACCCAACACAGCCACCCTCTAGTAGTAGCTTTCACGAAACCCTTTTATCATCCACATACAGTATCTACTATATTTACTACTGGCCTTAACCTTTTACACTGCCCTTCCCTCCTTTTCTTAAGTTTTACCCTGATGTCCAAATTGCATTTTCTGTACATGTAATAATCATGTTTCCCTCCTGAGCATCAGTTTTTTTCATACGTAAAATAAGGTAATACTAGAATGATCTCTGCACTCCCTCCCTGTTCTAAGATCTGCTTTTTTTTTACCACATCTTTTCTCCTGAACCTTTTATACTCGGATGTGGGTGTAGATGCAGTGTATGTTCATAATAAAGCATTTTTATAAATGACACAAAATTTATGGTTTATACATGAATTAGTTTGTGTGAGAGAGGGGGGAAAAAACTATGTCCCTGACTGCCTCCTAACTGCAGAGGCCCCAACTTACTGTACCAGAACCTTGTCTTTTCTGAAGATTGATCTGATCCATCACCGCCCTTGACCACTAGAAGAAAGTTGGCAGCAAAGCTTCCACCACCATAACAATGATCAGAACCATAGACCTTATAGTCAAATGATTTAATTCCTTAAATTTATTATTAAATTCTTTTGTTCAAATATAAAAGCCAATTTAACAATATTAAATGCTGATTAAATAAGGTACACTTATTTACTACATTATTTTAATAGACAACATTCTAATGTTGTCTAATAATAGACAACATTCAAGCCCTGGCTGGTGTAGCTCAGTGGACTGAGCACAAACTGCGAACCAAACGGTTGCTGGTTCAATTCAGTCACGGCACAGGCTTGTGATTCAGGGCTGGTCCCCAGTGGGGGCTACATGAGAGGCAACCACACATTGATGTTTCTCTCCCTCTTTCTCCTTCCCTTCCCCTCTAAAATTAAATAAATAAAAACCTTTAAAAAATAATAGACAACATTCAAATGAATTGTCTATGTATATTTTTGTATCTGTTAAATCATATCCTCAGATAAATTTCTGGGAAATGTGTTTACTGAATCAAAGGGTAGGACTATCTCTATGGTAAATATGCCATATTTTCCAGAATAGTTTGTAAATTCCTAATAGATACAAGTGTGTATAGTGGCTTTAGCAGAATTCCAAAGGCATGGAATGTTGCTTTTGTTGTTTTAATAGGTGTAAAATCTCAAATTTATATTCCTTTTGCTTATTGGGAAGTTTGAATATTTTTCCACGATTCAGTGAAATTCTTTCCCTGATACAGATTACCCATTTGATTTTTTAAACTTTGTCTTTTGGGATCTACACTCACTTTATAGATGGACAGTATCTTGCTTAAGGTTCTATGTATGAATTCCTCATAAAGCCAGGACTATAGGCTCCTGACTTCTTCACTCCATCTCATCTTCCATCACGTAGGACAAGCAAGTCTTAAGCATTCTGGCCCCCTAGACTCTTAATAAGAAGGGCTTTTCCCCTTCACCATCTAGAAAATAGTTCACTTGCATAACATTTACTCTAGTCACGAGACAAATGGGCAGTCACCAACTGCCGTCTTGTTTTTATGACCTTAGAGGAGCAGGTACAGGAAAAGGATGTTCGATTATGAAGACTGAAAGTATTTGTGCCTCACTTGAAGTATGGCTTGAAGCTCCTCATTTCCTCAACAGTTTCAGCTTTCAACATCTACAACTTTTCTGTTTCCATATTGGTTTACATCTTTATTGTAATGTACATTTCATTCTTGTATTCTGTGTTGCAGTGGAATTACACACTGTATTTAATTTATTCATTTACCTGGGCAGAGCTGTCTTTATATAATTTGTATGCACATAAAACAAAAAGGCAAAAGGGAATACAACTGCTGTTTCTTATATCTTGTGTATCTTTCAAAGATATATTCATAAATGAGCATATATACATATATCTTTAATATATACAAATGGTAACCTCCCACATATATTGTTCCCTTACTTGCTTTTTAAACTTAAAATCTTGAAAATCATTAGATCTTGTTCAATGGCTACATGGTATTCCATTGTATGGATATACCATAAGTTACTCTACCAGTTCCCTATTATTTAGGTGGTTTCCAATATTTTCCATTACAAACTGCTGCAGTGCATATTCTTGTATATGTGCTATGCGTAGATGAGTGAGAACAGCAGACCCTTGAACAACAGGGGTTAGTGAAGTCACCCACCCCCATACAATGAAATCCACATACATCTTAGGCCAGTCCTCTGCATATGCAGATTCCCAACTGTGGATCAGAAATACAGTTGACTTCTGACCTGTGCACATCCACTTAAACACAGAAATTTTAAATCTATGTATAAGTGGGCCCGCACAGCTCAATCCCGAGTTGTTCAAAGGTCAACTGTATACCTACAGATTAAAGCCCTAGAATCCAGGGTGAATGAAGCAAAATTATACCTAATTTTTTGTCAGATCAGCAAGAAATATATTTTCTGGTGTGCTGCAGCATTTTAGTAATTAGTTCATGTGTGCCATGAGATGAAAAAGGTTGAAAACCGCTGGTGTAGGAGAAATGTTTTTATTTCTAGGAGTCACATGTTTTCTCAAACATTTAGGAACAGAGTCATGACATCTGCAAGTTACATTCAAATGGTCCAGAAAAAAAGTGTGTAGGTGGGATATACATACACATACATACTTACATACATATACATAGACAAATTGAGAAATACACAGGAGAAAGCAAATGTGACCAAAAAAATTAAATGACTGAATCTAGGTGGAAGGTATTACAAGTGTTCACTATCATTCAACCTTCCTGCATGTTTTTATGTTTTTAAAATAAAAATTGGAAGGAAAAGATACTGCATATATGAAATAAAAACACTACTATGAAGAAGGAAAAGTCATGAATAAGAAAGAGCTCTTACAAATTTTAAATGATTTTTTTATTTCAAGCAGCAGAAACTTAATGTACGAAGTTGAAGAAGTTTCCCAGAACATCAAAAAGAGAAAGTATGAGAGGAGCGATAAATCAGTGGGGGAAATCTGATAGCCAGCGTATTTTCATTTCAGAGAAGAAAAGCAAACAGAAGGACATTACCAAAGAATGAGAAGATAATTACTCTGAAATGAAAAAATGAATCTTCAAATTAGAAGCGCTCGCTGAAGGCTGAGCAACATGAAATCATCATCACTAACGACCACTGAGTGCTTGCTACCCGCTAAGCACTTGCATCAGTCATCTCCGTTTTCACGGCCCTCTGACACGCACACGGTGTTACCAAGTGAGTGAGGTTATTTCGCCTCGGGTCACATAGTT